AGACTTTTAAGTGCCCGTACGTAAGAACTACGCATACCTCAAGGCTGAATTTGAAATACTTAAGTTATAACCTGAAAAGCTGAAATTTTGAGGGAACATTCCCTCAAAATTTCAGCTTTTCAGGTTACTGAGTTAGCAATTTCTCCCCTAAAACTTTCATACGCCCTTATGTGAGTCAAGAATTCTTCATGACTCCTTTTTAATGTAATTGATTATTTCTGACAAAAAGATCACCTGTATGATTAATTTGGCGCATTCATTGCATGGGAATAGCACTGTATAAATAGTTGCCCCTCTAATCGAACCACTAATTTTATTAAGTATCGCATTCATTTCAGCATGGCATACATATGCATACTTGTTCTCCAAGAAATTCTCGGAATCTTTCCCCCACGGTAGCTCGTCATCGGAGCAACCTGTCGGCATGCCATTATAGCCGGAGCCAACGATAACTTTATTTTCATTAACGATCACTGCGCCCACCTAGAAAAAAAAATCAAAAAAAGATCAAAAGAAAAGAGATGAAAGAAAATTAAACTGCTTTGCGCATCAGGAAAAATAATCTCGGCTGCGAAATTAAGATAACTGTTACTAAGAAAAACCAATCCTCAACGATACTTTGATTAGCCGTCATCTTACCGAAGCACACTTTCGGTACCAGCGCATTTGATAACCTCTCCAAAAATGCTATGAAACTGAAGCCCGGCAATCAATGACTGTTAGTTCTAGCTCTCAGCATATCTCTCTATTTCGATGTTCTGGGAAGAAATGCCATACAACGCCATCATGCTGTTTCAGAATCGAACCTTTGTGGTGGGATCCTTGCTTCGCAGTGCAGCCATATGCGCCACACCCATGAAATATTCTTCCCATGTCAGATAATTTTTGCACTTGCCCACTGCGGTACCACTGTAACAAAAAAAACAGTAAGAAATGAAGGAGAAAATTTCGTGGTAAAATTTGTATTATAAGGGAGGAAGGCAGTTCTTATAAAATAAGAAACATGCATTATATGCCCAATTCCATATATGTGAAATGAAAATTCTTGTATAAAACATGAACTTGCAACAACAATCGGAAGACTTTCCATGTTTTGACTTAGGTAAGTCACACATTTCTTAAGTATAGTGTATTTCTCCACTTAATTTTAATCACATTTCCTTAAATTTCATTGCCACATACATTTATATTTCAAATTCATCATATTCTAAATCCTCTCAATTAATCAATATTACAACTGTCGCACTGATGAGGCCTAGCTCCCTGCTTCTGAACTGGAACATATGCGATTTGATGGACCGAAGCATTCATCTTCGGTCAATTTTTATGCGTTTTGTGCTGCGCAACAGCAGTACAAAACGCATATTGTCACGGGTTGTCCGTGTTTGTGTGCGTGTGTGTGTGTCCGCAGCAAATTATCCGCAACTTTCAACTTAGAAACCACGAAAGCTAGGAAGCTGAAAATTAGAGGAAAGTTCCCCATCCACGTGTGAATCCGCAAATTTAAATTCAGCCTTCTCTTGACCACAGATAACACGTAAAAGTCTTGCCGGGTAAAATTATTATTTCGGAAAATACGGGAGTTAGAAAGCTAAAATTCTGTTGACATGTCCTCTGCCCATGGATGACCCAGAAAATCTAAATTCAGCCTTCCTCTGCTCGCAAGTAACACATACGGCTTCGTAAAAAGTTTTGGTGAGGAAATTATTATCTCGAAAACCACGGAATCTGGAAACTGAGATTTTACGGTGATGCCCCTGCCCGTATACAGCCCCACAAATTTAAATCCAAACCTCCCGCGCCCCGGATATTACTCACAGGCCCGTGAAAGTTTCTGCGGAGAAAATTATTGTCTCGGAAATCACAAGAGCTAGGAAGCTGAGATTTCACCGCATCGTTCCCTGTCCATGTACGACTCCGCAAATACTTATCATCCCCTTGAAAGTTTTGGTGGGGAAAATCATTATCTCGAGAGCCAAAGAGCTATAAAGCTGAAAATTTCAGGTGGACGTTTCCTCTCTAAGCAAGAGCTTCACAAACTCGAATTCAGTTCCTAAGTATGCCGAGTTCTCACGTGCAATCACGCGAAAGTTTCTTCGCAAAAACCACTGCAAAGCAGAAAATGAGGCTGAAAATTTGGAAGGATATTCATCCTTCGAGGTTTCAAATTCAACTGCGTGAAATTTCTAATGGAAAACTCCGCAATTTTTGAATTATTTTTGCATATATCAAAGTGTAAAGCAGTGAAAATCATTAGTAGGCAATCATTTGGTGGAGGGAATTGCACAAAACGCATGATCGCACCGGCTGTTCTGGCTCGCCGCTATTCATTATATTTTAAATCAAGTTTCATTAGCTAAGGGAACTATCGGTGAGTACTTACTTCGAAAGATTTGCTGTCACCACACCATCTTCTTCCTCCTCCATCGGCGCCATTCACACCTAAAATTGTGCTGATTAGCAAAGAATACAAGTTTGTTCTGGCGCTATTAGCGAACGAACGATCGCTGCTTGTCCCTTTTTCTGTTGTGAATTTGTTGCGGAAAGCCGTCAAAAATAAGGAAGCCCGTGCTGAAAGTAAACCGAAAAGGACAGATGTGCCAAGGCATCAAGGCCAGTCGTGCAATGCCAACAAAACCTCGGGAATCACGGAAAGATATGCACCTTCAAGGTTTCGAATTCAGCTTTCATGCGCTGGTGAATGAAATTTTTAACTGTTTTCCAATGTTTGAACTATTTTTGCATAGACTAAAGTACAAAGCAGTGA